AGTAGCCTTGAAAGTCAGAGATAAGAACAACCCCCAACTTCTTTATTATTGGCACACTAAGGTGCTCCATTCACTCCTGTTCACATGCATTGACTCTGGAGCTAATCCAAGAATCCTGTAAAGACATAAGTTGCTGTATTGTAAAAAAGTTAGTAGACAGACTTTCAAAAACATAGGAATTTCTCTGTTTACAAGCATAGATTTTGCTCTTTGAGGTTCTAGCACCTTCCCAAAACACATTGGTTAACTTGTTTTAAAAAGTTCAGGTTATTTTCTTGAAGCCTGCAAAGATTTTGTATTTTAGTACTGCATTTGACTCTTTCAACTTCATTACCAAATAATTCATAGCTCTCCTTGTTTCACAACACCAAGTTTTAGCATATGCTATTTATAGCTGTGTTACCTTTACTGAAAAAGCTCTTAGGGGAATGCAGATTTCCTCTGTAAATATTTTTAGTGGTACTAAAATCTTCTACTATGTCACTTTCAAACAGCTTTTTGATAACCCTGTGAAAATGTAGAAAACTGCAGACCTTGCATCAGGTTCAACTATATATCACTCCTTCCCCTTTTAAAGCAAATTAAGTCATATAATATATTTTTCCTAAATGTAAATTTTGTAGACCGGTGATAGCATTCCCCAGACTCCATGTTAACACCTGGAATCCTCATGTACGGCCCTTGTGAGATGGCTGTTGAGCTTTTTTGCAGTGACATACATTTTTTTTTCTGTGCACTGCAGTTGGTGTTTGCACAGAGTCTGTCCTTGGACATACAGTTTAGTGCACTGACAGCAAATACCTGTTGTCCATCTAGCAGCTACAAGGCCTAGATTCTGCAGCACAGACTTATTTAGTGCACTGGTAGGTCTCTAGCATCTTTTGTAACTATCTCCACAGATACAGTGGAGTCGGTGCACATTTTTGAACCAAATCAACTTCTGTCAATTGTTTTTGGATTGCTTCATTTTGTATGCCTCCAAATTGGCAATGGTCTGTTAATTTTCTTAAATCAGCCACATATTCAGAAAATGTTTCATTTCCTTTGATTCGCTTTATAGAAAGCAAAAACATTCTGCATTTGCCAGGGGGGTTAGGAATAGATGTGTCAAATGGTTCATCTGCAAGCTTAATAGGAGCTGTTGAGTTACACAGGTTATAGAAGTTTAGCACCCATTCCTCAGCAAAAATGCAAACTTTATCTCCTCTGTTATGTTAATAACAAGTATGAACCCATTTCCCCCAAGCAGAAGGACATCTTGTAACCTTGTTTTTCTCAACAACTGAGCTTTTTCCTTGTAGTCTCAGTAGCTGCAGACTGCAGTTCCCATTTCTGTTTCCCCTTAGACCTTTCTTTGCTTTTTATACAACAACAATGGCAAATGAAAAGACACCACCACAACAGAACCACAGAGGCAGCAGCTAAGTCCCAAGTAAGCTTACTAACAAGACATGTGCAAACATATCATGCCTTCATCTGTAGGTTTGCTCAAAGTAGTTTCTGGTATATTCTAAATCACAAAACACTACAAAACACCACTAGAGGGCTCTAGTAAAGGTTATACTATCTTATCCCTAGATTCTCTAAGTAACATCTAGCTTTACCAAAATCACAGCATCAAATCATTCTGCACCCCAACATGGGAAAACCCTGAGCTCCAAACTGCTTTCTGCTAGGTACCGTTTGTACATTCTTTTGTTTTGTATTACAATTGTTGTTGTCATCATTGCTGTAGATATTGTAGCAACATCACAATTATTCTGTAAGCTTTGCACATTTTTTTTGACCTTCTAGCTCCAACAAAAGGACAATTCTTTCAGTGGCAAAACAAGCACCAGAGACAGGTGCATCAGAAGTTTTATGGAAAAGTTGGCAAAATCTACAAAATTTAGCATGAATATTCTAGGGATTGATATATAAACAGAGCGTAAGTTATAATATTGCTAATATAACCATAAGTTGTAGCATAACATCTGTGTCATTCCTAAACATTGCTACCTGATACAAACATCGTCATTAAATGCAGCTACTTTGAAACAACACGTGATTGTATTATCCAAACAGGATTCAGACAGATTAAGTGATTAAATACAAAATGTAAACCTGGCCCCATATCTTTAAACACAAGCACGTTCATAGCTTTCCTTATGTAAATGGCCTCAGTGGCAACAAGCAAGGATGATTACTAGAAACACTGGTGTTCATGGACTGGGGGTCTTCCTCTCAGAACCTTTGTCAGGATATTTTTTTAAACCACCCTTCTTTTTTGTAGGTTACAGGTGTTGGTCTCTGTTTTGTTATATAACAACAGCAGCAAAAAGTTGAGCAGAAATCCAGAACAATTATATGCAAGCTACAAAAATACCCACATTTTTATTTCAGCACATGTTTAATATTTGATCCGATATGTGCAATAAATGAGTTTTATTGCATGCACTAATTAATTTCCATTCACAGATATTTATGTGTGAAATTAAATATTTCATACATTCATTAATTTTATAATTTTAGAAGCTAGCCACTCTGAGGTACACTAATCAACTTTTCCATTTTGTATGAAAGCTAATTCTTTAATGGGCAGTAATAATTTTCTCTGCATAATGAGTCATAATACGTGTTCTGAATACCAAGTTCTTTAAATATAGACCCATCTTTTCATCAACTTCACCAATATTGTCTTGCATTTTTGTTCACTGAAATTGATTAATCCCTTCAACATCCTCCCCTACTTCAATCTTTAACTAGATCAATCAGATCCAAAAATGGGTTTGCCCTAATAAGTTTCTCATTTTTATTATGCATTCATTCCACAGTATACTTGTCCCCTGTAAAAGATACAAGCATCTCATTTGAGCAGTAATGGTGCATCATATCAATACCAAGGTGGTCTTCTGGCTCAAGGTATTGAACAATGAATTGAAAAACATATGTCCTTGTGTGATCTTGGGCAAGAAACTAGAGGACAGTTTCAAAAGCACTCTGCACTGGAGTAACTCAATTTAAGAGAATTCAGCAGAAGCAGACAGACAGATGCTCTGAGCTGTTCAGAACAATGCCTTTATTCTTTGTGTCTCAGTTACTCACCTGTGAATTGGAGATCAAAATATTTTCCTTATTACACATTCTCTTCAAACACTCAGCGCTTCAGTTAAATGGTGCCAGGTGATGCACAAATGCAGTATGCTGCATGTAGACCATCCTGTAATCAAAACAGAGACAGTCTTTCAAAATTCCGGCTCTCATTATTTGAAGATCTAGCCATTTACTTCCATGAAATGGAAGCTGAAGATCTGGGCTGCAGCAAATTATAAATAAATATGTATAGTAGTAGCTGTACAAGTCATGTACATCTGAACACCCATAAAAGTGAAAAAATGGCATGGTAGGTATAAGGGTAAGAAAGCAGGGGACTGGAGACTTAATCTAAAACAGGATAAAAACAACAAAACAAGCAAGGATGTAGTGTCAGTTGAGGCTGAAGCTAACTGTTTCATCTCAATCATATTGCATCATATTTTTCAACAGAAAAGTGTCAAAGAGGAAAGATTGTTCACTCAAAGAAATTAAAACTGACTGTCATACTGGGGACTGTATTCCAAGTAACCCGCAACCTTCCTGCGGCAGGGGAGGCGGGGGGACAGGACTCTCAGTGTCCTTCACTCTCATTCATTTCCAGTGATAAATTTGTTTAACCCTGGATTAGAAAATGAAATGCAACCTCCATAACCTAACAGATGGGTTTCTACTACTCTGGGGTAGAATTTTTTTAAAAGTTTCTTCTGCAAGCTCTCCACCTGCTCCTCCAGCAAGTTGTCACAGGGACAATAACATGGCTAATACAGAAAGCTTCTCATTGAGATCAAGCAAAATATTAATGTATGCAAAAAAACAAACAAAAAACAAACAAAAACAAAACAAACAAACAAACAAACAAAAAACCAGACCAAGCTGAATACTGGCTGCAGTAAGGAGCGTCTAAGAATTTTGTCTCCCAGAAGTCCAACACTTTGAGGTTCATGTATCATCTGTAAATAAGCAGCTGATGCAGAACTGCCATGACATCCCTTCCATTCAGTGGTAGCAATATCCACATTACATAGCCTGCATATTCCACAAAGAAATGGAGCTAAAAGACAAGCAGCATGGGTTAGAAGGGCATATGATGGGGATTCGGGGGACCAAGGTTTTATTCTCAGTTAAACCAATGACCTACAACAAGTCAGTTTCCCTCTATTTCCATTTTTCTTCACACAATCTTTTTTTACTTGGACTATAAGCTGTTTTGGACAAGGAACTGTCTATTGGTAGACACATTACACAAGGAGGCCCTGTGGATTCTAGAAGTTGTCATAATACAAGTAATTAGAAAACAGAAAGCAACATATAAACACTGATGTTTTTCTTCCCAGTGTAGCATTAGTATTGGAGGAACCACTGAGTACTGGTAATTGGTGGATCCTATGACAAGCACACTTTCTCCATGGAAGCCACAGCACGAAACTAAGCAATTTGCTCAAGGACACACAGGATGTCAGTGGCAAGGCAGTGAATAGAACCTGGGATTTCCAGGCTCCAGGTCATCACCTTTACCCTGGGCCACCTTTCTCCAAGAGGATCCCCAGCTTAGACACAGCACCACATCAGAAGCTTTGAAGAAGCTTCCAGCAAGGAATACGTGTGTGCTCTCCCCTCTATTCTGTCACTGGTCCTTTCAGGGACAAGAAAAGACCAAGTGACTTCTATCTCATCTCAGTTTTACTTCCTGGCTGAGTTTCACACCTGAGCATCCACTGCTGCAATTTCCTTCCACACACAGCCTTCCCACAAGAAACACCTGTAGTCCTGGTGCTGATCAGCACTATCTTGATCTTGCCCTATCCTGCTCTTCCTCCTTTCTTAGAGAGCTACCAGTAACCCAAGTCCCTTTGGATGGGAGCAGCATCTTTCATGTGGCTGCTTATTAAGTGTCACCAAAGTCACGGATCTTTCAAGATGCGAAGGTCTCTTCATACCCCATGCAACCTTGGGCAGCCTGAGATGTTTGATAGGTAGTTCCTCTGCTGCCACCTGTTACCCCAGTTCCCAGAGCCCCTCTTTATTTTGCCCTATCCTCCAGCTGGTGCTACCCAAGTCTCTTTCAAGTATCTATATAGCCCCAGAGATGCATCCTTCAAAGTCCACAATGGCTCCACTGGTCCTTTAGGAGATGCCTTTAGGCACAAATCACTCTTCCAGCTAATAGTTATTAGGGCATTTAATCTGTCCTCAGTCAGTCTTCAGGCTCCAAGACTCCCTCCTTCAGTTTTCTGACCATGCAGAGCTGTCTCTTCATAAGAAAAATCAGAGGCACTACTAAGTCTTAGGTCATCACTGCCCTGGGCATGCAGCTGTCTGACCTTCTTGCCTCTTGGGCAGACTGTGGCTCCATCATTTCCCTTTGTGTCAATCTAAGTTGGTAGCATTCTAGAGGCACTATTGCTCCATGGACAAAACCCTTGGGTAGGGCTCCAGGGACATGAGTCATACTCTCAATACTGGTAGTATCCTGCTAGGTGATCTTAAGAAAGTCACTGAACTTCTTTCATCCTCAGTTTCCACATCTGCAGAACAGGCTTAAGGATACTTACTTCCTTTGTAATCCATTTCAGCATCACATACTGTGCTATATGAATGGTACAATTGGTGCAAAGCAATACAGGCAACACTGTAATGTTTGGAAGGTGAGCAGCTGGGCCAGGTTTTCAAGAGCTCTTACCATGCTTGACGATGTAGAGGCATGGCCTGAATGAGGTAGATGACTTGGTGGTACACTGCAGCTGTAGAAATGCTGTGGATAAATGTGGGAGATTGCAATATTTCTAACAAACAATGAGAGCAGATTCATTTCAATCCCATGCAAAATGGCTTGTCCATTCTTACTCTCAAACAGTTTGTTTATTTAGAGATAATCCTGTGTAGTTAAAGCAGCTTACAAGTGCTGGTGGCCATAGAGGTCACTTATCTGATTACTGTGCCTGTGTGTTGTGAAGCCAGGTGGTTTCACAAGCATCTAGAAAGTACCCTACTAGGAACTAATGTTCACCTCAAGACTAAAACTATGTAAACATGGTTTACTTCAATTTCCAGGCATTTGTGCCAAATATTTTATTTTATTTTCATTAACTCCATACCCTTCAATTTTCACTGCAGAGCATCTTTTGAACCACAAATTCAGCAAAATAACCAAGTTTTTACTGAAGAAGGAGGTGGAGGAGGAGAACAAATCACCATGTTTATTGCAATTTCTACACACTAACCCATCTCACATATACCAGAAAGTTAAAACAGGTTTACTAAATGCCTGCAAACTTCAAAGAATTTGAAGGAGGCTTAACACTAAGCTGGGAAACCAGCAAGCCTGACCCAATTTCAGGTACCACAAAATTCTTCTCAACAGCTAATATTCGGTTTCTGTTAATTCCTGTGTGGCAATGGAATTGAATGAAATACGTTCCTAAATAATTAATATAAAGATAAAGCATAGTAAAATAGGAATGGGACTGTTTGATAAAAATAAAACCATTTTAATTTTGTATTTATATAAGAGATCTCTGGGATGTTTGGCCTGTAAGGAAGAAGTCTTTAAAAGACCTATGACTGCATATATAAATCTTAGAAAAGTAGGGTTGAGAGAGACCTCATGAGTTCATCTATTCCAACTTCTTGCTAAAGGCAGGATCATCCCTACCAAACCATGCTAGGGTGTGTTTAATCTATGCTTAGAAACTTTCAAGCATGGAGATTTGAGAACCTCTCTAGATAGCCTTCCAATGCTTAACCATCTTCATAATGAGAAAATCCTTCATAATATCCTACCTAAATTTTCCTTGCTCTTTTTCCAGTCTCTTGCAGGCAAAAAAAATAATCTATTATCACCTTTTTTATAACCAGAGCTATTGGCTTGTGCAATAAGAGCATACTGTTGACTCACATTCAGCTTACAATCCATTATACCCCTCAGCCTCCTCCAACACATTTTTGACAGTGCTGCAGCCTAGTCTGCAGCTCCCCAGGCTGTATTTATGCATGTGATTCTTCCCTCTTAAGTCTAGGACTTTACCCTTTTCTTTATTAAATTCCACTTGATTAATTTCAGACCATTTCTCTACTTTAATCAAGAAAATTCTGAATCCTAATCCTACCCTTCAGATTTCCTATAACTCCACCCATCTTGATCTCATCTATGTGAAATTAGTTAACAGAACAAGCAGTAGCTTCGGGCCCATAGTTGCATTGCCTAGAGGTTTGGGGGCTCAATCAAGTTGTTATACATTGGCAAT